TTTTTTTGTTAAATCTAATAAAATTTTGTACGATAAATTATTTTGAAATATTTTTTGAAGTTTATAAATAATCTAAAAAAATAAAAATTTTAAAATAAAATAAAATAAAATAATTAATTAATAAACTAATAATTGAAGTAAGTCTATTTTGATCAGAGGCCCTTCAGGTAAGTTAACAACTGAACAGATTATATATTACGATGTGAGTATCTGACTTGTACTTTTACCAGATATTTAAGTGGAATATCTTGTATTCTCCCATTAGCTTAAGATTATCCCCAATCAACCAAGTACATCATTAATTATGAGACCTGCCAAATAGAATTATTGAATAATAGGAACGAAGCCAAGAAATCATATTGGGGGTAAAGTGGCAAAAGATACATTTTTCTTTTAAAACTTTTGTGTTTGAGTAAATTGTAACTTCAAAAAAATATTAATTGTAATTTGTCATTTAAAATTTTTATTTTTAAAAAATTAGTTTAAATTTAACAATTATCATTAATTTTTATTAGATTTTAAGTGTAATAATTTAATAGAGTTTAATAATAACTATTAAATTTAAATTAATTTTTTAAAAATAAAAATTTAAAATAGTAAATTATATCACCACTTTTATATGATAATTTATTTTAACACAATTATTTTAAAAGATAATTTACATATTTGGCCGGCTAAAATTTCTAATTAAGGATTTATGTCATTTCTCTTTAAAAATGAATGAATTTATCAAGACCAATAATAAGTATAAAAAAGCACATCGTAGAACCTCCTTTATTCTCCCTTCAAAACTGTACTATATATATAGCAATTGATTGTTTTATGGGTTAAATTATATATTAAAATTGTAATGTAACTAATAAAATTACTTAAGGTATTTTTAATAAAATAATTTTATTAATAATATTTTAATAAATTTATATATCGAACTATACTTTTAATTTAACATATATAAGGTAATGGAATCTTGTTAACAAGGAAAAAAAATTATAATATTTGAATGTTAATTTGGTTTGACTAAAAAAAATTAATGATTTTATGAAGAACAATGGAATATTGTTGATAAGGAAAAAGAATGCTACCGTAACATTGGATGAGCAAATAATTACTGGAGTCAATGAGCCTACTAAGTCATCACACAACCAATTAACCAATTTAATATTCAGTTCACCCAATTTCTCACGAAACTAACAACTCAGCCTGCCCGATTAAAAAAAGACTAGTCGGCTCAGCAAGTTATCCCAATTGTTGACTTTTGATTGCTTCAAAAAAGTTCTAGCAAGAATTAAGTAAAATGTCAACTGAATAAGGGTAAATACTTCCTTTTGTTTCCTGAGAAAACAGGGTCACTTAAAAGATGAGTTCTAACTACTAACTAAACATCAAAAGTAAATAAGCGTTTCATAAACTAATGTCTTCGATCCGAGAGGCAAGAATGGTAGACTGTATAAGTGCACACTAGCAGGCATGTGAGTCAAACCGGCGATCCCATGAACATTATACCCATGAACATTATAGCAGCAGAGATTAACTCAGAAGTTGCCTATTGATGTCCATTTGCCATGTTGAAATGTCCACCTAGTCTCTGCAATTAAATATGAAAATGCATACGTTAAACATGTCAATGATTATAAAATCACGAACAGAAGCTACACTGATGAGACACCATAAAAGAAGCAAATACCTGATGATGATAGCCAGGATTCATAAATGGATAAGCAGCTGCTTGTAAATTTCTTGGCATATGTAACGTTGGCATAACACCACCACCATAACCAATTGGATGGGCTTGTCCATGATTTCTCCACTCATATTCTCCTCTAAAGTTAGGAATCTGTATGCAGTGGATGATAGGATAATCACATATACGATCATGAATATTAAAAATGTAAGAAGCATTTATAACGAATGGATTGTTGCAATACTTACTGTAGGAAACATAGGAGTTTGAGGTCCACATGGTCTCCAATTTGTTCCCAAGTTGAAGAATGGATTCATGGGATGTTGCCCAATGTAACCATGAGTAGGATATTTGGCAGGAATGGCAGCAATAGTTGCCCTTTGCAGGCGTTGAAATAATTTCCTCCTCTCCTCTTTGGTTTGAGCCAATGCGACGTAGAGAGGCTTCCCATGAAAAAAGACACCTAAACATTGTGAAATAAACCAAGATTAGGAGTAGAATTGTAAAGAGAAGGGAAGTTTTAAAAGAAAGCACAATGTTTCCTGTTGTGCAGAAAGGATTTCCATGAATAATCTGTATACGGTGATAATTAAGTTTTTCCATGGATTTCTATCCATAGCATGCTTCATCAAATTAGAAGTTTAGAGGCACAAATACGAAGTACATTAACTTACCATTAAGACTTCTTATGGCTCTTTGAGCTTCATGGGGCGTAGAGAAGCACACAAAACCAAAACCCCTGCTTATCCCTTTTTCAGTTCGCATTATTTTTGCAGAGACAATTAACCCACATTCACCAAAATAAGCTTTTAGTTGAGAATCATCAACGTCATCGTTGATGTTCTTGATAAACACATTTGCATCCTGCAAAATACAGAGAATGAATTCAATTCAACATACAACATATGATCTTGATTTCTAAAGGGAGAGGAAAATGGTGTAATCGTTCTCTAACCTTATATTTCTGGATTTTCTCCTTGCGCCTTTCTTCATATTGAAGCTCCAACATCTGCTTGCGCTCTCTCTTTTTTTGCGCCTTTGCCACGTACAAAACATTTGCGCCTACGCATTGAAAAATTTTATATCATACATGTATCAACAGCTACCTATATAAAGCATTACTGTCATGGATGTTCAAGAGGGATAAAGTAATAGCACTTACCAAGTTGAGCCCCGTCCATGGCCTCTTTTGCTCGTTTGGCATCATCTGAGTTCTCAAAGCTAACAAAACCAAAGCCTTTTGAGACCCCATTGGAGTCTTTTGAAATAACCAAGCTTGTTATTGTTCCAAACACAGAAAACTTCTCTCCTAAGGTTTCTTCGGTCAAATTTTGATCAAAATTCTTCACATATAAATTGTTGTATTCAGTGGAAGAATGAATCCTGTCACTCTTTTTTATGAAGGGGCCGACGTAACTGTGACGTGAAATAGTTAGTTCAGTAATTTCTGGATAAATACTTCACACAGAGTATGACTATTAATAAAGGACAGCCAAACATAAGAAAATTAATATGCAAAGATAGATTCACGTACATCTCTTTTCCTTCAATAACTTGGCCATTGAGCTCTTGAATGGCGCTTTGAGCAGATTCTGCTGATTCAAATTGAACAAAGCCATAGCCTTTGCTCTCCCCATCTTGAGAAGTTTGAACTTTGCAGGACAAAATTGTGCCAAATTCCGTGAAAATACCATGCAGCTTCATATTGTCAACTGAAGAAGCCAAATTCTGCCATACATAATTCAATGTTCAGTAAATATTATAAGCTCCAAGAATAGATTTCAAAAAAGGTATGACATACACACATTACCTTCACAAATACATTGCCAATACCACTTCTTCTTGCTTCCGAGTCGCACTGGGACCACATTAACCTAATTGGCTTACCATTGATTAAGGTATGATTCATGGTCTCAATGGTCTCCATTGCTGCCCCAACAAAGAAATTTTAGTTAGAAGCTTGAAAAAAAAGGTCAAAATTGATGAATTAGCTCACTGATTCAAAGACAATCCTATTATTTTTTTATATACCTACATGTTATAATTTATATCATACATATAAATCAGTAACAAATTATCACTCAAAATATTCATTGATTACTGAATTGCATTACCAATTGTACAAAAGTAATACAAAGACAGGCCGAATTTACAAACTGTTAGGTAACCCTTAAGTGATGTCCTAGTAGTGAAGAGTTTGAACTTTTTTATTAAATCACTCCAAAATTCTAATTTTGGGATAGATGATGACAAATTTGAAAAAGTAAATTATCAATATAGATGAATTAAAAACTTAGTATTAATATATACATACAAATTTGTGGGTAATTAAGGAATAGGTATTCCTCGATTTCGACTAAATAACCAAATCAAATATGCCCCAAATAGTGATAATAATGTCTAGATATGTACCTTGTTCAAAGGTGCTAAAGTTGAGGTAGCCATAGCCACGTGAAAAGCCGCTGAGAGTATCTTTGCAGAGAGAAGCGGAAACAAAGTCCTTAATTCCGGAGAAGGTATCAATCAGTTGCCCCTCCGTCACACCAGGGTGGAGGTCTCCCACATACAACGAGTGAAGCTGCAGTGTCTCCGCCATTCACCAAATCTTCAAAGCCTTCTTCACTTATTCTGAATTTTACCTTCCCTACTTCCTTTTTATAGCTTCCGTCTATATTTTTCAACCCGGCGGCTCAAGAATTTAATTTCTACTTTAACTATATATCCCATTCAGGCTTTAGTTTTTAACCCTATCCTTACCCTAGACGTTTTCTTTTTAAATTTTCCTTTTCTTTTTCGTTTTTATTTTTTTTCGCCTGTATTTTTATTTTTTTACTAATGTTAAAATAAAGAAGGCTCGGGTCTAGGTTGTCCCATACAAGTTTTGTTCAAATTTAATATATATATATATATATAATTTTTGATCACCTAATATAATTTGAACTTAAACTTTTAATTTTTACTAAAAAAAAATTTTATTGAAAGAAAATTAAAGCTAAGATGAATGATTTGATACAAGATAAAATCTAAAAATATAGACTAAGTTAAGAGGCAGTGAAAGAAACAAGCAGAAGTTCCTGTAAATCAATAGATATGTCATTAAAACCAAAGGACCCGTGTGTATGAATGTAATTTACAGTGCTATCAGGAAAATGACCCTAAACCAAAGTAACTGTAATCCTCCATGGCTGATGATGATATACTCTATGAAGAATCTGTGTCGCGTGATCTACATGGACACCGAGCAGCCACAGGCTGCAGTATAAATAATAATAATAATAATAAAGCATGATGATTGTATGCTGATTTCTGTAAACACAAAATCAGCGGGGGAATATACGATGGGAAAGATCGAGTTCAAAACCTCTTGCATTGTATATCTGCTACAAAAATAGTACAACAAGAAGCATAAATATGTTTATAAAGGAAGTTATTGAGCTCCTCGGTGTGTTTTGTGGTGAACTGTTACTCAACTGTCCTGCATTGACATATTCACTTTTACCGTTACTGGTAGCTGTCGACACATTAACTGGCTGTGAACCTGAAAACACAAGGCATTGGAATTTAGTATCAATGGAAACTCAAGGAACAACTCCTAGGTTAAACTCAGATAAGTTTATTTTCGTATGTATGTTGATTCTGGTTTCAAGTGGGTAATTGGGACTTACAGTCATAGTTTACCCATCCAAGTTGTTGGTTGGCAAGATCATAGACAACGATTTTGTCCTTCAAAACGAGATCTGCAAAAACATGGACATGAATGTTAGATTTAGTGGAACCAAGAAACATTAATTAATCAAAGCACAAGAAACCAGCTAATAAAAGCAGTGAACAATTGTTCCATCATTATTATAAGGTTCTGCCAACTAAACAGCCTTTTAATTCATTTATTTTTGTTTTATAATCATGGAGTACTAAAAATGTTGAAGAATGGTATAATATATTTAGATATGTTTGAATATTTGTAATACACATATTTTTCTAAAGAATCGTCCCCTGCAAGACACAAACACCAGACAGACAATGATAAAGCAGGACATGAAAATAGAATAAGCATGTCACTTGGAAATAAAGTTCCCAATGGAATTTGAAAGGATTGGGAGAAAGCTTAAGCTTCATATGCTGTGAGATTATCATCCATTGAACTAAATTCTATCAAAAGAATGTTCTGCTAGGTAAAATACCTCCCAAAATCGTTATCCCTTGCCCTGAAATTTTCTGAAAGCCAATGCACCATACTGCAGCATCACCCTGTAGCACCAAATTCACCCATCATAGTTAGAAAAAGGAAAAGAAAATAAAAGATGAATTACTTGGAAAGATAAAGCTATTTTCAAAACACATCCACCATACGACCAAAACTAAGAAAAGAGTAAGATAGCAATGCTAATAAAGAATACACAGAGAGCATCAGCATATGCATAGTGGAAAGCAATTAAGGAGCAGAGCTAATTGGAGCAGCTGCTAATATCAGAGAATCTACCATTGTAGGCACTTTAACAATGAACTTTTATAGATATACTCACTTGGTAAATAGAAGTCATTGAAAAACAGTTGCAGACTTGCAACCAAGGTTATCCAAAAGAAGAAGAAGAAAAAAAAAAAGAAACTAAATGGTTTGGTTAGGGGGGCAATTGTTGCCATTGAAGGACCAGTCAACTGCTGGGTGCAAACCCCTTTTGTTACAACCAATCCAGAGTTAATGTGTAAATGATGAATAATTTAACACATCCTCAAAATAAAATCTTCAGCAGGAAGAAGCTAGATATTAAATGAAATGTCCAGGCATGAGCTTGACTGCATACCAGTTTTTTTTTATTAATTAATTTTAGGTATAAGACTTTCTAGAGATTAGATAGGCATGATTTGTATGACTAGATTGTTGAATTTGACGAACCCTACAAAGGGTTACCAAACAGCATAAGAATAATTATATATTAATCATTACATAAGCATCAATGGGTTCTTGCTAGATGCTTGTGAATGTATATGCACATTTAAGCTTTTGACAACTTACTATTGAGTTCTGCTGTAGAAGATAATCCTGAGGGTATAAAATCATGGATGCTCCATCAGCAAAGTTCAGACTAACTTGAGGAAAAACTTCAGTGACACTGAACAAAATATCAGCAGTCATATAGTTGGAATCACGTCTTAAAGATTGAACTATCTAACAGAAATGAGACAATATATCAGGAAATGAACCTGGAGGTTATTAAATAGCATTGGGTTCCCTTGGAGACGACACTACGTGCAGATTGTGAAACACTGCTTGTGATCTACACATATCAAAATAATTGAATGAAAATTATTTAACCCATGTCATAATCATATTCATACTTCTGAATCATCAAATACAGAAACCTACTAAGTTAGTCAAAAGCGTGAATGTTCAAAACTTGCTCATGAAGATGAGAAAATGCCCAATTAACTTACAGCGTTGACAAAGGCATCATAAGCTGTTTCTGCAAGGTATGCCAGAGTTGTCCCAGAATCAACTATTGTTCCTGTGTTGCTTGATGTTGCAAAAACTGATGAATCAATTGCCAACTGTTGACCATTGACAGAGATGCTTTGTAGATTGAGATTATAATGGGGCCTGTAATTTTGATGGTACGGAATGATTAGTCAAATAGTAATGAATTAAAATCAGGCTTTAATTTTTTGTTCAATTTGTTTGGTCTGACTAGTTCTTTTTACCATGTTATCCTTTCCCACTTTGCAGAATAAATCCAAGAAATACAATTTTCATAATCATTTCACAACCAGAATTAACAAAATCCACAGTTCTCAAAACAATAGTGGAATTAACGTACTGCGATGGGACAAGTGAGGTATAAACTATATTCGGCTCCTCAATCTGTCCAAGAACCAGTATACCTCCCCCACTACTATCCCCTTTCAAACAGTGGGAAAATACTTTGGGTGCAACTCCTTGCGAAGCAAGCTGAGAGACAACCGACAAACTCTGCTGCCCAAACCCAAAGATCCCATCCACTGCTCTATCTGACTTCGTCAAGTCACCAGTCTGTACGGTACTACATCTGTTTCATAATCCAACATTTAAAGAAGTGAATTCTTAACTCTAACAAGAAAACATAAACGAAAGTAATTAGCATCTCAATCTTGAGAAATTCTGTTAGCTCACCCAAACATAATGTTTGCTGTAGAATTTGTAGTGACAGAGCCCTGAAGAATTATATTCAAGTGCAACAAATCCGAGACATAATAGCCTGATGTCCCACTGCCATCTCCATACTGGAATGCGTAACTGCACTGATTGCTCTGGGATGAACAGACAGAATCTGCTGATTGTATTCCTGAACTGCATCTTTGGTCAGAACAAGGTACTGATGAAGCTGTTGATGAGCTCGCTGGATTAAAGGAATTTAGCTGAATCTGAAAGAAAACACGGCAGCTTGATTCAACAATTGTAGCAGTAAAGTACCCCTTTCGTCTTCATACGTTTAAGCACAAGTTTCCCATATTTGTAAGAAAATATACACATAAAGAGAAGTGAAATTACTTTAAGTCCACTTGTTTGTGGGCAACCACTGCAGGAGCTGCAACCGACCCATAAAACATCACTCCCCGTGTCAATCTGTACATAGAATGTCTGTGGAGGAGAACCCAGTTGCACTTCTGTGTAATAAAGCCTGTAAACAAACAAATAAAAATTCCTGAAATGAATGAACATAATCAAAAGCAAAATTGAAATCAATGATGAAATTCGAATGCTCTACATTCATCAGTTCCAATTAAGTAAAGGAAGAAACAGAGGAAAATCGAAAGTAGAATTTAGTTAAAGAGAAAGAAAAAGCACCACAAAAGATGATTAAAACCCAATTATCATAAACAAAACAGAAAGAAAAAGGGGGAAAAGAATAAAGAGTACCCTTGTATTAGTAAAAAAGAAATTGGACTAAAAAGCATTAAAACCAAACCAAATTTAACAAAGAATAAATGGAGAACAGATAAACATTCAGACAGCATTACATTCTAATTCAATTGGAAATCACCGACAGAACAGAACTCATGCGAAACCAAATCCCAGAATCAAATTTCAAAACTCCAAAGTCAAATTCAGACAGCATTGGAAAAATCAAAGTAAAAGATCAGAATTTGATAGAATTACCCAACAAGAAATGGATCGTAGGTCCCAGCAACCATGAAATCCACGACTCCACCGGAGGATTGCAACAGCCTACCGTGCCTGGCCGCGTCACGCGCTCTGAGTTGGCTCAGGTCGAGTTGGTGACTGAGCGGAATCGCTCTCTCAAGCTCAAAGGTCGTCTGAAACTCACCCAAAACCACCGCCAC